GATTCTCCAGCTCCTACTAATCGGACATAAAAACAACTTACACCATTGTAACGAGGAAAAGCTGAACTTTTACAAGGTGTACGGCACTTGGTGTTTTATAGTGAAAGAGCAAAGAAACAGCGATCGGAATTATCCCGATTTCACCGATACCACGCGGTCGGAAGGCCGCGAGTGCCCGCGAGGCCGTGTTTACGCTACCTAAAGAATGTCTTGGGGTTTGAGAACCACAGTTGTATATTATGCTTTCACCTCCCTGGTGAACATCATATTCTGTTGTGTTATGCTATCACTTTCCTTGTGATTCAGAAACATAGAATTCTGCCATTTGTGGTGCTGGGTTGTTGTTTTTTTTGTGATTAAGGATCATCGTGTTCTGTGGTTTGTGCTGTTTTGTGGTATGACTTTCCTTGTGGTTTAGGATCATTGATTGTATTCTGTTATTTGTTTCATTCGACTCATGAGTGGAAGCTTTCTGTAATATGAGTGGGTGGTTGGCGGGTGCTCTGGTGTGGTTTTCTTCTCCTTTTCTATCAAACGTCTATTGTCCTTATCTCCCCTCCTTTTTTATGTTTGTTACTCTCTTGTAACACCTCTAATCTTCTGGCACTCATATGACTTTATGCTGTTGCAAGCGCCGTAAAACCTCTACTAAAACATAAAACATTTCTGTAATATGACGACTTAACCCTTCTAGGCCCAAGCTGAACAAAACCGCCTGAAGGGACTTTTGGAGAAATTGGAGCAGGAGAAATCCACCCTGCAGAAAGAGTACAAAGAGGTGTCCAAGAAAGTGGAGGCGGCCGACCAAATCATGAAGACAAGCGGAGCCAACATGGCGGAGATGCAGAAGAAGCTGTCGGCAGTGGAGACTGAGAAGGTGCGTGTACTTCCAGTGTCTGTGTTCTCTGCTCGTGTCTTATTCTGCAGTGGCTAAGTCTTCGATTCAAATATTTTATCAAAAGAATAGTTAACTTTGGAATGCACTTTAAACAAAATAGTTCTGAGGTGACGAAATGTTACAACACTCTCCTCAGCTTTTCTATAGGATCTGAAGTTGTGGAGGGTGGTTGGAGTGTACCACTTGTAGGTCTCCTTCTTTTCCTCAAATTGTTTCTGTCTTTTCTTTCTTTTCCCATGCCCTTAGTGGCCGTTATTGTGTCGATGTACTTCTTTTTACTCTGCCAAACTTCTTCTCGTTTATCTTTTAAATGGACGTGCCAGCCTCTAGTGGGAAGACTGCTGTTCACCGCAGAACCTCCTGGCTTCCGTAGAGCAATTCTAGTTTCGTGTGTGAGTTTTTTATCCTCAGCTGTATAGTAAAATTAATTGCCGTACTTGTTGTAAAATTTTCAAGTGTTGTCATCATTTTTATTTAGGACAATTTGTCCTCTCAACTGGATGGCAAGACAAACCAGTTGCAAGCCGCTGAGGCAGAGAGCAAGAAGCTGAGGAACGACCTGTCTCTGCGAGACCAAGCGAACGAGGCGCTGAGGGCCCAGATGATGGACAAGGACTTGGAGAGGGAGACGGCTAAGGCTGAGGCGGAGCAGTTGTCGAAGAAACTTCTGCAAGCTGAGAACCAGCTCTTGGTGAGGAGGATTTTTTTGTCTTTGTTGTGAGGGGAGGGGAAGGGAATGGGGAAGCTTGAGAGAGTCACGGAGAATGATGGACTGAAAAGAGGAAAGACACGGAATCATGCGAAGAAGTTTGCTGAAAGAGAGGGAAAAGTAGACAATGTTTGTTCATGGCCTATAGGTGAAGAGGAAGCTTATGGTTCATTTACACAAAACTCTTGCCTTGGTTTACTGTGGTGGATTTAGATGGAAGTGAGTTAAGAAGAAGTTTTTGACTTAGATAAAGTTTGTACCATAGCCTTCGAAACCTTTTTTTGGAAGGGAGTTCCACTTTAAAAATTACCCAGAATTTCCACTATCATTACAATGCAGTAGCAAGATGGGAAAGTCTTCTATGTGTTTTTCTTTACTGAAGCAGAGAAAATTGAATGTAGTTTAGTTTTTGTAACAGTTTTACGGTACTTGCAACTCAATGAGAAAGTCATTTAAGTGCTGAAGATTACAGGTGTTGATAGAAAGTAACGTACGAAGGACAGAAGGAGTGATAATAGCGATAGATGTTTGAAAGAGGGAAGAAGGAGGGAACCACACCAGAGTGCCTGCCAACCACTCACCTGAATTAAATCAAAAGGACAATTTAGTATCATATTGAGATGCGTCTGAAACCCCGTTTTCTCTGATCTGTCCTCAGGATATCCAGAAACAGAAAGACAAAACCTCTGATGAGGTCAAACGAATAACTGGAGATATGAACAATCTGAGAGATGAGAACAAGTAAGAGCTGGATTTTAAAAAAAAATTTGTGTGATTCATGGATGTCTGTGCCCAATGTCTGATACTTATGAGTTGTAATCTTTTTCATCTCTGTAATACCTTTCTCTCTCTCTCTCTCTCTCTCTCTCTCTCTCTCTCTCTCTCTCT